AACATTTTAAATTTTAGACAATAATAACTATTTTAAGACAATTAAATTCAAAATTTTAAATTTATTTTTGCTCTAATTTGGATATAATTTTTGCTAAGTGCCTATTTTCACCGTCTCTCCACATTATTAGCCTAATCATTTTAATAATTAGGAGTAATTATTATTGATTGAGTATAGTAAGTATCGAGACAACTGTCGTGAAAAATTTAGCATATAATTCTATGCCGTAAGTCTCAGGTAAGTTTCCAGTTAAATGATTCCAGATGAAAACTCATGTGCATGCTTAAAAACGTGAATATTATCAGTGTTTTAAAGATACATGCAAACTTTGTTGAACTTATATTCTAGTTCAGTGCTGAGGCAGAACAACGCAGATGTATCCAGGGTCTGAGTTGCGCTGTAAAAATGGGCTGGTTATGCCTAACATAAATCAAAATATTTTTCCACGAAGGAATTTTCCAGTGCATTTAAGCCCGCCCAGAGGCAGTTCAGTGCTGCTACTTTAATCGTTATTTTATTTGACCGAATTTAAATTCATACGCATTATCTTGTGTGAAATGCTGATTGTATGGAGTTGGTCACTATTGTTTCATTATAATAGATAAGTAAGACATGATTTGAAAATAATTAGTTACGCTTGCGTGTTTGTAAGTTGACAGCCAAGAAGAGTAATAAACTTTGGATATAATTTTTCACCTATTTTAAAAATATAAATTAAAAGGATAATAGACTTGAATAAATATTGAATTGTCATCGCAGAAATGACGTTACTCAATTTTAGAATTAACATTAGGAGAGCGTTGCGTGCAATGATATCGTTCAAGTTGCAGCAAGCAAATCAAACTTGAGCTCCCAACAACATCCTCTCGATTGAGTTCCTCTCTCGATTGCCCACGCGAACACAGACTGCACACAGGAAAATTAGTGGGTTTATGTGAAACTAGCGTTGCACTTTTCGCTCTTGTGTGGGTCATCCTGACCCACTTTGGCCCGGCAAATGACGTATCAGTGCCATAAGCAAAACGCATGTCCCTATTAAGACAATGAATTCATTCTCCCCCATTCATTCACGTGAGTGTTGGCATACAGAGATCAGGCGCTGTTCCCGGAGCGGGGGGACACACCTACAGGCGGCGCTGAGCTATCAGCTTTAGGCTCCGGTGGCGGTCATACTTGAAATAAATAAGACAAAGCTGTGCTAGGAATTTAAATGTAAAGAAAATAGCCAAAAAGTTCACCATTTCTTATAAGAAAAAACGTTTCGTAGTCCAGCTCCATCGTCACGTCAGTTCAAAACCTAGAACACAGTACCTGTGTTCTAGGTTTTGAACTGACGATGGAGCTGGACTAACCCACTGGATACTGGAAAAGCTACTGGACTAACCTTTTGAACTGGATGGAGCTGGACAAAACCTAGAACACAGGTACTGTGTTCTAGGTTTTGAACTGACGTGACGATGGAGCTGGACTCCGAAACGTTTTCTCTTATTAGAAATGGTGAACTTTTTGGTTATTTTCTTTACTTTTATATTCCTGGCGAATTTGCGACTTAAGCAGCCAAGTGATCTTAAAGCTGGTAAATTTCCTACAGAACACTGAACACCTAAATTGCTAGTCTCAAACTTCCTTTCTCGGAAACGTGGTTCTCGAATTCTGCAGCCGTCTGATCTGTGAAAGTTTTGCTCGAGGATGAAATTGTTGCCAGTTGTTTCGTAAATAAATTAAGTTTAGAGCAAAGCTGTCGTAATTTTTCCCTTAACACTGAGCCCTGCAATTGCAAGCCTGCATCTTCGCTTTACGAACACGAGCACGAAATTTCTTAATTCATGCGTCATTCTTGTTTGCGTTTAAATCGTTACGATTAAATCCTATTAATGGTATTAACTGCCATTTATTAAAGAGTGAAAAGACAAAAGAGCGGGTACTTATAAGTGGGTCAAAGTAATAAGTGGGTAACAAAAAGGTGGGTTAAAGTGAGATTTGTTCGTAAAAAATTTGTTCATAAAAAAAGAGTACTGTTTTGACTTGTTAATGTAGTGGTTGCCAAAACTTATTGTAATAACTGACACTTTATGCCTGTAATATTTATTGTAGTATTCAAACAAAATTATGAGGGAAGAATATTATAAGATTTATGGAAGTCGTCATCACAAATATCTCCTATATAGAACTAGAACCATAGCTTTTGATAGCCCAAGCTGTGAGCATGGTGTGTGATCTTGGTCGAACAGCTTGAAATTATCTTAGTTGCATAGAGTTTAAAAATAATATTGATTTATACGCCTGTTTAATTTATACCATATTTTTTTATACGACGGTAAAAAATCGATTTCATATTTGTTCATAAATTATCATTTTAATTAAATTATTTTGTTCCAACTATTTTTCAAGAAATTCGAGTTTCTTTTGAGTTCACCTTCATTTTGAAATGAGATCATTGTTATTGAAAATCGTGTGCAGGCACTCAATGTCACTAATACAACAATGTCAATTTTGGATAAGTGCAGGATTATTCTTCATGTTACTTGAGGACCTAAAAATAGGACTATAAGCAGTACCACGAAGAAGCTACTGTATAACGGGCACCTGATTCCCAGTTTGGTAAAGCTAATCGAAAATGTGTAGATTTCAGGAATATTATATTGATTAGAAAAATTGAGTGAATACTCCAGTGATTGGCGCCAGGCAATTAAGTAGTTGAGGCTCTGTTAGTCATCCGTTTAATTACCTTTTCATAACTGACGGGATTTCTCAGTCCCAAACCCCTAGATACGAGTGACATTGACGACGGTAAATGTATACGAGATGAAAGGGCTAAGAACTCTTCACCGCCATATATACGACTATTGTACGAACAAAATGAGTAACTTTCAAAAAGTTTTGAGCGCGGTGAAAACTTGTGTCTTTATAACAATACAATTTGAGTTACTTGTGTCGGGTAACACCTGGCAATAATTGTTAAAGAGAAGAAAGCAGAGGTGCTAGAACGTGTGGGATCATCGAACGGAGGTGCGGAGGTTCTGGCACGACGCCAAGCGTTCAGTCGTTGGGTCTCTCCTCCAGGCCTCCTATATAACACGAGCCCTTTAGGACCATGATATCGGCGCGCCCACAGACATCAAACAAATACATCAAACATCCAGCAAACAAATGAACCATTCCATTTGTTTGATGACCAACGGTGGTAGATGGCAAGTCATGTCACTTGTATTGGCGGTTCATGACGAAATGCAGTTACAATGTCGTGGTAGTGTCATCTTGATTAAGACCAAGCTTCCCTAACTAAATTTAGAGTCGCCTCAGCTTCTGGTAATCCAAATCAGAAGCTGCCGCGTCAGCAAATTTTCACTGGGTTCACTTCTTGCGCGGCGAAGTGGTACTGACAGTGGACGAGAAAGAGCTTCTTACTGTTGAAATGATGTTAGAAGGATGAGTTACACACAGTTTATGGCTGTGCTTTTCTTCCTACGCGTAATTCAATCGAAATGACGCGTTACATACAGTTTACGACCGTGCTTTTCTTCCTACGTGTAATGCAGATAAAAATTACGTGTTACCTACAGTTTACGACCGTGCTTTTCTTCCTACGTGTAATGCAGATAAAAATTACGTGTTACCTACAGTTTACGGCCGTGCTTTTCTTCCTACGTGTAATGCAGCCAAAATTACGTGTTACCTACAGTTTATGGTTGCGCTTTTCTTCCTTCCCGTAATGGAGTTATCCTCAAAGCGGCAGTCAAGAGCAGGTCCGCAAAGGCATTTACAGGCTAATGCCGAGAAGTGGCCGGATGTAAAAGGATCCTATGTATATAAAACATATCGCTGGCAGACTGACTTGACTGGGTGACATTGACATGTGCCATTTTCATTGGAATCGGCTTTAACTGTGCGTTGTTTTGAACGTGATCGATTACCATGAGTAATTCAAGGTTATAATTTGTATATTTTTTCACTCTATAAACAAAATATGTCTGAAAACAAAATTGATAATTATTGCTCACATAATTGTCTATTATAGGATTTTTCTTCGACGAATCTGCGTATCATTTATAATACAATATGACTCCGCTCAAATCTGGTATATCGCGCCGTAACAGTGCATTCAATGAACCATTCATTGAATTATCAATAATCTTTTATTGAATTATGATTCATTGAATAACGGTAATGATTCATTAACAGTAATGATTCGCTGAATTATCTGATAATGCGCACACTAGTATCGTTATAACTGAGAATGCTGCAGGCGCGGTGTGCGTCTCTTTAGGTCCAAACTTGTGCCAAACGCTTGGTTGTACTAAGCGTCTTGTGGGTCAGGTAAGGCGTGTGAGTCGTGCGACCAGACAAAGTTAGCGTCTTAAAACCGTGTTTCGTACTTAAAAATTAAACACGAGAAATGTTCTCTCACTCACTGTTAACTGAATCACGGTTAGGAGATCAGGTTTCAAGATCTACACAGGAATGTTATTTAAATGAATATGATACTGTAATTACTGGATCTTATATGAGACTAAGCAGGAGCCAATATCAAGACTATTTTGTTTTAACTTGAATTTAAGAGCATTCAGATTACAGGTTGTGAATTATTACTTATGAAAAAGGAAGTTGCAAGGATATTGATTATTGATCTAACTGACTTCTAGTTATTAGATTTTCGTTTTTTTCAAACAATTCCTAAAAAAATCCGCACAATCGCACATTATGCAGTATTGTTGCATTGACTGCAAGCGACTTTGCAAAAAGTAGTAATTCAATTGCCGCGGACTTATACTAACGAGAAGCGGTTCCAATCTATTATACGTGATCATTGCAAGTTAAAGACAGGCAATTAGCCACGGGACATTCAGCTACTGCAATAAAATTAATACTCGTTAATAAGTTTATTTAATCAGCAACGCAACTAAGAGCTAAAATCCACCAATAAAACCGGCAACCGATTTCAGATTTGAATGCATATCAAATACCTCCAATCTTATCTCTCTGTTTTCTGCCGCATGCAGGACACTGTCGACCAGGCGGATCAAGAAGACGAGAGCAAGAACTCGTCAGGTTCTCCTAATAAAGTGCGACGTAAATGGAAGAAGCGTCATCACCTCACGGTGCTTAATCCTTACGGCAACGCCTATTTTTATTGGCTGTGCGTCCTCACCATCTGCGTGCTGTACAACCTCTGGACCGCCATCGTACGGCAGTCCTTCCCAGAGCTCCAGGAGAACTATGTCCCTTTATGGTACGCAATTACCCTAAGTTTTCTATAATCTTTCGTAATCTTTAGTCTTCTCATAGTACGGTGTAACCTCAAGTTTCCTCATAATATAGTAAGAATCCCCATATGGTACGGCAAGACCTCATGAGCCGTTATGCCACGCCGAATTTTACCTCTCATAGGGTCAAAAATATTTGTTAATAATTCCCATGAATGATCTTCCCATATGACTCTCGCATTATTTCACTTCTGAATGTAGGTTATTAAATTTATAATATGTATATTACAGTCCCCGAACCATTAAATCGAAGCCCATCAGCTATATTTTACGTTTTTTTATGTCCATAAGCTATGTTTTAAGAGTTATTCTCATGTCCCTCAGGAGTGCACTGGACATCAGTACGGACCTGGTGCTGGTGCTGGACATCCTGGTACAGTACAGGACGGGGTACTTGGAACAAGGCCTCATCGTCTACGACTCAGAGAAGCTGTCCACTCACTACCGCAACAGCAAGTTCTTCTTCCTCGACTTCATCGCAGTCATTCCCTTTGACTATTTTATGATGGCGGTCAGTCCTGAATAATATTTATTACATTAATAGTAGTGTTTCGTCATCGGGAAATGTTACTATTAACAGAGTATCATGCTGACAGAGTATAATGATTTGTTAAATCTATGTCGTGAATTATGTTTACTGCTGTAAAATTTTAATTATGAAAAGTGTTTTTAACATAATTATTGATTTATCAGTCGTGAATAATATTTATTGCTGCAATGTTGGTCATCAGTCATAGGCAAATCTTATAATGGACAGATTATTTATGCTTTAGGCCGGGAATAATATTGATTTTATGATTATGATGCCAGTCATAAACAAATGGTAATAATATTTATGGTAATATTTGGAATATTAAATGATGTCGATCAATTTGTAAAATATCGGTTCCGATCGTTTGCTTGAGTATAAAAATAACATTTAAAATTGATAATTGAAAACAATAACATATTTGAAAGTATATTATAACACTCGTTAACTGTTGACACCGATCTACAGTAACTTAGTATAAGGTCGTTCACTCGTGGACATTGCGTAATTACGTACGATAATTCTTCTTCCTAAACATAATCTAAAGTTTGTAACCTTGGAATAATTATTTGTATTTCCAAATGAAATCAAAAGAAACGATTCACGATAATTGAGAGCAAGCTTCGATCGATATGTCATGGTATAAGTTGAAATCGGGCCACTGAATGTTGTGGAAGTTGAAATCGGGCATCTAATGCAGAAATTGCAGGGAGTGCAATGGAATTCTATTAATCTAAATCAGAAATAAAAAATTTATTACCTATCTCAAAAACAATTTATTCCGATGAGCACATGCCCACCAATAATGGATAGGAATGAAGTATACGTAACTTGCACCAAAATTATATCGATGGTAGCAATATGACCGTAGTAAGTACTCTAGTGGCAGTAAGTGCAGGAGTTATAGTTGTTGCAGTTAGTACTGTAGATAGCGTAAGTGCTGCAGTTATAGTTGTTGCTGTTATTACTGTAGTTAGAAGGTGTGCAGTAGCTGCAGCAAGTGCATGAGCTTCAGTATATATACTCGCAGTGAATGCATTACGTACTTGCAGTACGTGTAGGAGCTGCTGTAAGTGCGTGAATTGGTGGAGTTGCAGTTAGTACAGCAATTATAGTAAGTGCAGGAGTTGCACTAGTTGCAGTAGTCACAGTGAGTTTCAGTAAGCGGAGAATTTTTACTATGCAGCCAACAGAATCATTTCTCCGCAGATGCACGGAACCGCTGAAAAAAGTTATCCGATGTTCCGCTGCCCTCGGTTCTTGAAAGTGTACCGGGTCTACAACTACTACTACATGGTAGAAAGTAGAACCTTGTATCCGAACCTGTGGAGGGTTCTCAACCTGGTTCACATCCTCCTATTGCTGGCTCACTGGTTCGGCTGCTTCTACTTCATCCTTTCCAAAGCAGAAAATTTCAGAGGAGATTGGGTGTATCCATACAATGCAAGTAAGTTCAACGTTGCATTTACATTCTAGTACATGCTTTTTTTCTACGCATTCTAGCACATGCTAGAATGCATTCTAGTACATGCTCATGCTTTTTTACCCAAAATCACCAGCTTTGAATCCGAAAAAATTGAGTATTTAAAGTATTTTCCCTTTTATTTTTATGCAAAAATTTCAAACTTTTATTTGTGTGTTCATCCATCCATATACAAATGACTTTGAATTTTGTTAGCATATATTTGCGTGGGTCTCGGAGGGCTGGTTCCGAACACATTAAATCTATTAGGTTCGCTCTCAGTGAGAGCCACCAGACCTGAAAGCAATTTCAGCTGCCAATATTGACCCGTCGTCAATCACGCCACGCCAATTATTATTGACCTGGAGCGTTGTTCCTTCCGATACTTGCGTAGTATTTTACTATTCTATTTTTAGCTTAAATTTATGTGCCATGCCGATGTTATTTTCTCCTATGAGTCCTTTTTCATTTCATTATTTATGGACAAGCGAGAAACATCCATTTTTTTCAAGAAGATTTTTTTCGGAATTTTATTTCATTTCCCCGTTACATGAATCATGAAAAGCAATTGTATTCAAATTAAATTCAGCCGCTTGTTTCCGCTTAACCATTCTAGATTAGACCGATCAGTGTTCTCATGCCTATTTTAACCAAGAATAAGTATAAAGTCCATTCCTCAAGTGAAATTTGCATAGTGTCATGAGTTCCTCTTTCAATGGGAATCTCCCAAGAAAAACTACAATCTTCCAGCTTCGGAGTTTTCTATTCAGTGATACCTGTGAATGGAAGCTAGTGAAGTATTTTTTAAATTTATTTTATAAATTTTATAAATTTAGAAAAAACTGGAGGCTGGAGAAGTATCTTATAAATTCAAGATTCTACATATAAATAAATCTTTTAAACTGACACAATTTCTAAAATCATCCATAAATGATTTGAATTCAGGGCCCGAGTTCCAGGAATTGTCACGTCAGTACCTGGGCTCAGTTTACTGGTCAACCTTAACCCTGACGACCATCGGAGACCTGCCAACACCGGAGACAAATAAGCAGTAAGTGTTTTTCCTTAAATTGATGTTCGTCTGCCGACCTGACAATAAACCGAGCGTGTCCTCTCCGTGCGAATGTTAAATCAATCCTGCAAACGTACTGACATAATTTCATCTATGCATGGTTATAATGAAATGCGAAATCCCAGTTAACGTATGAATATATTTTTCCATAGAATCGTGCCTGAACGAAAATTATAATTATTGTTTGATTATTTTTACCACAAAGGCGGTCGTAGTGACGTATTAATATTCTGAATTTGATGACTGTTAAATAAAAGTCCTTTGTAAAGATAAAAGTTCCCTAAGTGCTTCAAGCGTCGTGTTGAATTTCTTGGTATCGAATAAATTCAAGGTGCCGCGGCTGTGCTGCCTGGCTCCTGCCTAGAACTTCTCTGGAATTATCATAAGCTTTGGATTCTCGATCACATTGATTCCCAGAGTTTTTTTTAGGAAAATTTTACAGGGGACAAATGTTATGTTCAGTCCTATGTTTTGTTACCTTATGTGGACGAATTTTCATTTAAAGCTGATGTGTTTTTGCTCGTCATTTGTAGAGAAACATAATTGCTGCAAATTGAAATGGTCTCATTCGTCAAAGAGTAAAACAAACTTCATTGAATCATGAAATAATTTAACACTGCTCCACTTAACTAAACTGTTCTATTCTCTACTTTATTAGCGATATTTAATTAACAATTATTAGAAAACCTGCACCACAATTGAAAAATTACCAACACGTTTGAATGCATCGGAACAAATATTTGGCACATGTAAAAGTGCAGTTTCCGATTGCCTGTGATGTAACAATTATTTCTGAAACATTTTCTAACTCTTTAATATTCATATTATTATACATTGTAAACATTTTCTACGTTTACGTTTTTTAACGACGTAAAATTGCAATTATTTTGTAGTCTAAGATCAATGTGTAGTTCTGCTTTCTAAATTAGATTTTGTTTGATACGTCAAATAAAATGACCAGCGTTATAGTATCACTTCGTGCATTAACATAATTTTAGATTAAAATCTAACTCTTTCTACCTTATTAGTTAGTGTGGAACTCGTTACACGAGTTTACTCTACTCGATCAGCATTGCTCATGTTTTCTCCAGCGTAGAGGAGGTGGTTAGAAGTGTTACGTGTGCTCTCTGCTCTCATTCTTCCTCTTTTGCGACAATTACTTTTATTCTTTTCTGTAGAAACTAATCTAATAGAAACTAATCTAATCTATCTTATTATGATAGAAACACTCGGTTTTGAAATTTTTAAGTTCTCGAATTTTAATGGTTTTATTAGTAATTGTGCATCTATTAACGACCGGTAACTTTGTAACCGAAAATATTCATTCTAGTTTAAATTTTCCGTTCCGTTATTTACGACGAAATATTTCATTCTAGGTACAAAACTTTTCATATACTTCAATATTTGAGAATCTAAATTGAAATCTGCCGACTTAATTAAGAAATATTAAATCCTGCCGTAGAAAGAGTCACTGATTCACATATTAGTATAGAATAATAATTATTTGGAGTAGAAAGGCTGATCTGATGCTCATCCTTATTCCGATTAAAATGATAAATAATTAAACTATACAAATTGAAAAGTTCAATTAGAGCACCCGGCATCTTTTTACATTGTTAACGCTCCATGTTATTAAATATAAAGGTCATGTCTCTTTACATTGTTAAATTTCCATTTTATTAATTCTAACGATCATACTTCGTAGTGCACCGAACAATCTTCGATAATTCCCATCATTTGAAAATGGGTCATGATCACTTATTTTTGATTCCTCACATAATCATGAGCAAATCTTTTAACAGAACATAAATTTTTTCCTGTATTACAATGCTGCAACACTAGTAAATTACTACGGTATGCGAAGTGGAGTAATAGATTAGGCATATTTAACAATTAAAAAAATTATTATTGAGATTTTTTAAGTTTGAAATAACAAAGATATTTTTTGCTTCATCAATCAAGTTAAGAAATTCAGCTGCAATTATTTGCGCCAGTTCTTATTCCACAGTCATTTGCATAACCTGATTTACAACAATTGGAACAATTTCCCCCCTTCGTGTGACCCGAAGAAGTTATTGAGACTTCACAAAAAATACCGTTGTTGATTTTTGTACTGGTTCGGCTAAAGCAACCGCACAGATGACGCAGCAGAAACTTCACAGCCCAACGATACACAAATAGAAGAATTTCTTGCTGGAACAAACATAACCTCGACTCCCATGAGAGGTCAAGAGGGGTTTCTTCGGGACAAGAATGAAGGGCCAAGTGAAGAGCTGGCGGGCGACTCGTTTCTGCTGGAAGAATATACGTACGTGGCGGCGGGTGAAAACATTTCTGGAAATAACTTCACCAAAAATGTACTGGACTCAAGAACGGACCTTTCTGTACGGGACGATGCCAAGCGCAAAAAAGGGAAGCACAAGTCGAGGCTGTTGCTGATAAGAACCAACACTGGGTGCGTGTCGTCTGTACATAAACCCGTACTTTTTGAAAAAGGATCGATAATAAACAAAATTTCACCAGGTGTAAAAGAAAAAAAAAAAACGAGATGAGAGGCACTCAACAAAATCTCAGCGTCTAAATTACTGATTAACTAAATAACCAGTTCTCAATAAGCGTGGTGTAAGAGATTGGTCTGTCCGAGATCTCGTTTAGAATCCTGCTCCCTCCCAGCCCCGATTTCATTTGTTTTGAGCCGCACGTGACACTTCCAGCCATCCTTGTGACTCGTGTTCCCGATATCTGTATAGCTGTCTTTAGCTCTCAATTTCTCTCTCTTTCTCTTTCATTCTGGCTTTAACTCACCCGAATGTTTTCGAACACTGATCCAAACCTTACATGTGCTAGTCTAAACATTCAATCGACTCCCTCTCAGGACAGATCAACTCTTCCACTTATTCGCTCTTGATAAGTTTTCACGTTCCTCTCGTCTTTCGTTATTTTTTCTTGTCTTTCTTGTAAAAAGGTATCTTTGTTCGAAAACTACGGGGTTATCCTTGAATAAATAGCTGCTACTCTAGAGTAAGGCGTAGTCGTTGTTGTTGCTGGTGCTGCTCATATGTGTACGTTGACACATGCAAGTAGTAATCCCAGTATAATGCATTGACGGCTTGAGTCCCAGTAGCTTGATTATCCAGTGTAGATTTATTGATCATAATTCCTCTCATTGAAAAATAACCAATGTGATGATACATGCTTAGCTATTACTGCAACCTTCCTATTGAGAATATGAAAATTGATTTCACCATAATAAAATATCTACAAGCGTTTGGGTTAATCTGTCATATGGAATAATTTTTTTAATTGGTTGCCTGATTTTAAGAGATCAGGCAATAATTTTGTAACTTATAGTCTTGGAAGAATAACAATTAGTTATAGTTGGTTAGTCCATTTATATTAACCAGAACCTGTTCAGAAATATCCAATATTTTGTGTTTGCTGCAGATATGTCTTCACTATCGTAAGCTACCTCATCGGAGTCTTCATTTTCGCTACAATCGTGGGTGAGTAAAAATATTAGAAACTGCGTTGGCAAATATTGGAGTAATATTCTACCAATATATAGGTCTCAGAAAATATAGAACAAACCTTTGCTAAATTAATTCGCTGGCACAAAAATTATTAACGAAATTATTCTCTAGTAAAATGTAAAATTTACAACTTTTATTAAACTTTCAATTGGATGATGAAAAAAATGTATGTACCACTGAATAATATTTATACCGTGAGTGCTCGCCGTGGCAAAGGAAATGATTTAATGTCTTCGTGTTCTTATGATGGTACATTATTCTTTTTTGATTTTCAGGACAAGTTGGCAACGTCATAACCAACAGAAACGCCAACAGGCTGGAGTTCGAAAGATTATTGGTGCGTACTTAAACTGCTGGCAGGTATCAATTAAAATATTTTCTTTAATATGAACTTTGTTCATTTTGTCACACTTGAATAGAGTAAAAATATCGTACTAAAAAAGTTATCGTTGCCTTGAATTAAAAACTAAACAGTTAAACGAATAAAAATTAAATAGTTATTGGAATTTTGTTAACATTGATGTCAACGCGGGGCTGTAATTAAGCATGTTAGACTGAGTATTAATCAATTAAACTAGAAAATTTTCACCAAATGGGGGGTGACAAATGGCATGTTAATCGATCACAAGTCTCTAATTTCTATATATACCACATATTTTTTATTTCCTCTATTTATCAGTTTGGAACTAGGATACATCATCAATTACATTTTAAGTTAAAAAAAAACGTTTATTTTTAAAGCGTATTCTAATTTTCCATCCCTAAAAATGTTCCTGTGAATTAACATCACTCTGTATATTTACGAACAGGATGGCGCAAAGCTTTACATGCGGCATCACAAAGTGCCTCGTGAAATGCAGAGGCGCGTGCAGAGATGGTATGACTACTCCTGGTCCAGGTCAGTCATAATAATAATAATAATAATAGAAAAGCAAATTAGTATTTACGTAACTTAAGTTAAAGTCACATGCCCCCTTCATATTATAAAGTTCGAAAAAACAAAGATTTCAGTTATCAATCAACACTTTTGACTCCTCAACGCTTCTATCAAAAAAATATATAATGTTACCTTCTACAACGCTTCTTGTATTAACTTGAGTTGTTTTCATCCCCTCGAGGCATCGAGCAAAAAAACTATTCCCTGTGAAGCCATGTCCTCTAAATTAGCTGCCACAGCAGAACTTGATCTCCTAAAAAAGCTGTGTCAGTCCGGTATCCTCTCCAAGATGAACCAAAACCGAACATAAACCGAAACTATAACGTAAAGGAGAGCGGAACATATAAAAGTAACATTGCAAACAAGTTTAGGTGAAAAAATTCTTGAAAATTTTTGCTCATTTCGATGAGAATGTTGCGTCACGTGGACATTCGGTGATGACATCAACGTGAAATTTTTTCGGGAAAGGTTTTTTTATCCAACTTCGGAGACGAGAAGCCAACCAATGAGAAGCTTGATTGGAAAGTCCTCGATAAAACCCAATTAGTTGAGCCCTACACGCACGGGACTAATTGCGCAGCAAGCTACACTCTCCCCCGATACTCTTCATCTCTAACCTAACCTCGCACATGCATATAATTAAAAAAATATCGATCGAGAATCACCACTATATTTATTAAAATTTGAGTTTTGGCGCATGTGGAAACATTTAGAATATTCGGTTTAGTTACGACAAAAGCATTTGTTTGTATTGATAGGGAATTGTTGTTTCCATTGTATTAGTAGCATCATATCCTGGACTCAAAAAGTAAGAATAATTTCAGTTAAGTTCGATGAAAATTTCTAAATTTATCTAGTAACAAATGCTACGGTATCGAATAAGATCTAGAAATGGGATTGAGAAGTTTATAAAAAAGTTCTACTTTAGCCTTAAAACAAAAATTAATTTATTTTGCGCTCAAGTGTCATCAGGACAGGATGATGGCTTACCAAAAAAGACTAATCGAAGCCATTAGTGCTTGGAATTGTTTTTATCCAACAGAAAATATATTTTGCCGATTTCAATTTATTTTTAGTTTCACATGCACAAAAGGTTTTTAGCAGCTACACGTCACTGCTTTTGTAAAAGTTGCAGAATATTTATCTCTTCAATTAGGCCGAAAGTTCAATAAAAGTTGGATTATTATAGAACGCATCATAAAATTCATTGGGCCTTTTCACAATGAATCATTTTTTGGCAGAGGCCGAATACAAGGTGGAGGCGACATCAATTCGGCTCTTGGACTTCTGCCAGACAAACTGCGGACAGAACTCGCTCTCCACGTCAACCTGTGCACACTTAAAAAAGTCAGTTTTGTTAGAGAACTCAACTCTTAAACTTTAAGGCTAACATTTTATATTCTCACACACCGACTAGCCATGTATTTTATACAGAAAATGAGAACAGTAACTGTGCATGCCTATCTAAAATTCGAGTAAAAATTTTTATCTTTCATGGAACGCGAGAACCACTGAGATTTTTGACGCAAATTAAACAGTGATTAGCACCAAGTCCGCAGCATTGCCTGAATTCGGGTTGATGCAAATGATGTTAGTTTGTGTGTTGTAGTTGATAGTGGGACAGAAATTAGCTTGATCTCAGAAAGTGCCATTGGAAGATTGCGGGAAAGAAATACACTACTATTTATCCATAATGAGTACCTATGTGAAGTTGTAGAGCCTTTTCATGAATATATCCAGTATTCACCCTTTACGCTCATGAATGTCGATTACAGGTGAGCATCTTCAAGGAGTGTCAGCCAGAGTTTCTTCACGACTTGGTCCTGAAGATGAAGGCTTACATCTTCACTCCTGGGGACCTGATCTGTCGAAAAGGGGAGGTCGCAAGGGAAATGTTCATCATCGCTGATGGTATCTTAGAGGTCATCAGGTAAATAAATATTATAGAAGAATTATTTCAAGTTTCATCATGCTGATGATAATTTTATTTTATTATTTTCTGAGTAAAATCAAAGATAATTGATGAAACCAAGCAAGACATATCTAATCAACAAGATAGCGCATTCATATTTAATAGTTAAAATTCATCGAGCTTCGAGCTTATCAGAAATTTGTTATATATTAAAAGTATATTTCTTAAGAAACTGTATAGATCGTGAGCAAGTTCTTCCTGTAACCAGATATCTAATGGAAACATGTCACTCACCATAGAGAGTGATTATAAAATTAATTATTTTTCAGTGAGACGGGAAAAGTGCTCACGACGATGAAAGCTGGTGATTTCTTCGGGGAGATTGGAATATTAAATCTGGATGGATTAAACAAGTTAGTAGAAGTATTTAAGTGTGTGCTTTACAACGCTTTATTACATAAACCTTAGTGCGTTAAATGTTAGTCGTGCGAGCGTTACTTTCAACATTTGCCATATGAATTCAAATTTTTAAGGAAGCTCGTAACATGAAAATCAAAGTTTAAATTTTAACCTGTTTTTGGTCCCTGTTTCATAATTGTTTTAGAGATTATATGATTTATTACAAGGCTAGGTTGCTCTGGAAAAATGTATGTAAGTTTTTTAGTTTTTCTCATCATATTAAGCATTTTTTTTTAATTTCAGACGTACGGCTGATGTGAGGTCAGTGGGATACTCAGAGCTCTTCAGTCTGTCTCGAGAAGACGTACTCACTGCCATGAAAGACTATCCAGAGGCCCAGGTAAACAATTAATAATAATTCCTCAGAATTTAACATGTTAGCGAGCCAGCTTTTGGCCGCGCATTTAGTTGTAAGCCGCCATATTTATTCAAGCAAGGCTGGAGATTAATAAGTGTATAAATCTTTTTTAAGGAAGTACTTGGTGTCAGTAGCGGGATTTCTACATGAATAATTTTCATTATACGGCTGTAGAAATAAATGTTATTGCTATTCGGCTGTTGAAAGATTATTTACTATAAGCATAGGTCGGCTTCTGTGTACTCCTAGCGGTTTCAAAATTCGTCTCTTTTAGACTCTGATTGTGCATGGGCTCATTTTTCGAATGATCTCAACCCTGTATGAAGTCACAATATTCTCTCGTTTGATTAAATACATTTTATGTCACTCACAATATTATAAATTGTTGTTCATCCTCGTAGGGGGCCCACGGGCAGAAACCGGGACAAGTTAGGAATGTAATTTTCCTGCTACAACATCATTTATGTCATCATTCATGTCACACTTGTCCTTATCAGGAAATAGATTGAATTTAATAAACTATAAATGTATCATTTGTTGCATTATTTTAACAGATTTTAATTAGAAGGCCGATGTAAGGATGTGATGTGCAGATAAAATAATAATATCAGCATACACGTGAAACGTATTAAAAAATTCGCAGATGGTATTAAATTTTAATCAGTGGTTGTACAATTAAAACTAAAAAATTTAGTTACGGTAGTTCCATTCAAGCTAACCCAGCTTACCTAGACTTTGACTCTCAATTGCCTGGCGAATGTTTAGTAGTTTCACAGTTACGAAGAACGAACTGCACTCTCATAAAGATACAAATTAATGAATTCTCATTGAACTCAATGAATTTAATGAATTCTCATTCTCAATGAATTTTCAAACTGGCAGGAAATCCTGCAAAGCCTGGGCCGCAAGCGCCTGATGGACGCGCGCCACAACAGCAAGAGCTGCTCGTCCTCGAGTAGCAAGCACGACAGTCCGTCCCCCACCCGCGAGAACGGCCCCGAGGAGAAGCCCACCAAGCGCATCGTCAGCAAAATACGCTCTGACGTCTCGGCCTTCAGAAACGCCTTCAGGAAGAGCAGAGCAATGACACGGTGCGGATAAACTGATGTATAAATTGTACGAAGTATAATGACGGAGAGTTATAGTGTTTGTGAGGATTTGATAAGGTTTTTCCAAGCATGTATTATTGAAGGCTCTACCACTTCAGGAAGAGCAGAGCAATGACACGGTGCGGATAATCTGATGTTTAATTTGTTTTAAATATAATGAAGGAGAGTTATAGTGTTTGTGAGGACAATTTGACGTATAATTTGTTTTTAGTATAATGAAGGAGAGTTATAGTGTTTGTAAGGCTTTTCCAAGCATGAAATTATTGAAGGCTCTACCAAGCATGGAAAACAAATCTGCATTAGGCTTAAAGTAGATTTAGGTTAAAAGAAGAGCAGTTTTGATAATCATTAGAAGGAATAAGCTTAAGGATAATTTTATTTTTCTTCATATAGGAGCGGTAGTCAATAATTTTTTTCACCAAAGCAAGACTATAATCTGAGTTTCATTTTGTGTGGTTGCGAAATAATTATAATTGTTTTATAATCATTATAAATGCATTGTGCAAAGTTATAAATGACTGTGATTTATATCAAATAACACTTTTTTATAAGATTATTAAGATTAAAGAGGCAGGTTGAAGAATGGACAATTTTAATTGTGATGCTCGATAATAAGAGGCGTATTTTAACAGTAGACCCGTTCTGACATAAAAAAGCAATTAGTTTTTCATAAAATAATTTTTTGCTTAGAAGACCATCCTTTACCCCACTTTTGTTCATAATTCATAATATTGAGCAATTTATTGTATCATGGGGCTGGCTTGTGTATGCCATCGGCAAAGAAGCTTGTCGCATGATTAGACACTTTCGTAAAGAACGATTCTTGTGACAACAAGAAACTTTTCAGCTAAGGACGAAACCGTGAATCATCTGTTCTCGTTCACTTTACAGTTTACTATTTAAATTTAATCATCGGTGATTACTGAAGGGACTCCCACTTCGTTCCTAATCATGAATGCTTGTGCAGCCATCTTTAAATGCCCTGACACATGTTCGCACCATTCCATCACTCATGATGTGTTTACCGTACACCTCACTGATTTGGTGATTTATATCTACGGATTTGAAGCCTTGGGCACAGAAAAACGCACACACTTCGCAGTCGGCAGGATTTTCTATAGCTGAAGGCATTTGAAATCACGTACACGATGTAGACTCGATCGGAAGGTTCTGTACTGGCGTCTGTGGCTTCCAAACCGTTGTAGCTACACAGTGCACCTGTGCTAAACGGCGGCCGCAGTGCTACGGCGGCGTAATTTAAAAACAAAACTTACTCTTAAACATGCCTCGTAATCTATAACTCGTTGATGAATGTTCTCGTCATTATATTTCTGAACATTTCAGAGAAACTGAGGCAGTTGAAATGGAATCAATAGCCATTGACGGGAAAAGCAACGCGATGAGCGACACACCCGTCGTCAAGAGGATCCTCAGGTACAATGCGTCTTTAATAACAATTTTTTTCAATCATTTCACAGTACCTTCTCAGTTGATAGCTCCTTCCAGGTGTAACTATTGTGGCAAACATTACGAATAAATGCAAAATTCTGCGACCAACCATCCAAAGGAAATGCGAAATATTAATTTTCTGATAAATTTTAAAGAATCTACTACGAGTTACAGTAAAAATATATAAAAATTTAGTGTAATATTCCTTTTTGGTAAAATTCACCACAAATTTTGATGTAAAATAAATGAGGTATTAAATTACATTACATTTTAATGATAAATTCGAACAAGAATCTCGTCTCTCAAAGATATGCTCGAGATGATAAACCCGGTAGCTTGGCTACTTTCGCTGATGTTCATTGAAATGTTGTTTTCGTTCAGAAGATTCGGTCGAGATGAAAGTGGTTGCAGCAGCGACACGTCAAGCGGCATCGTGCGCGGAGTGCTCAAGAGGATGTCACGGGTGACGAGCGACGACACTCACCCTGCGACGACCCAGCGAAGATCGTCCATGGATGAGCCACAAGGAGTGTTGGGAGCCGGGCTTCCGTTGATAGAACGTCTGAGACTCCTCAAGGAAAAGGAAGAGAGGGAGGAGAGAGAGCGCGCAAGTAAACCAGTTAATAAACTGAAAGTTGAGGTGGTTGAAGAGGAACCTGAAGTTATAGGAGCGGGATTACCTCTGTTCGCGAGGCTGAAGCTCCTGAAAGCAAAAGAAGATCGACTAGAGAGGGAGAGGCAACAGTCGGAAAAAGCAAATGCCTCCAGGCTTACAAGGCCCGCAAGATTCCTTCCCACTTCGAGTATAGCAAAAGAAACTACAGTGGTTTCTGTTCCATCATTCGATTCAAGTAAAGAAACGAAAGTTTCCATTATGGCCTCAAATAACGATACAAATTCGAACGAAACCGTAAAAGACAAAGCGTGTGATGCTTCCATGACCAATATTACGGCAAAGAAAACATTAGGACCACTCAAAGCCTTAAGAAAGGCGGTACTGGAGAAAAATCCAAATGGTGATCAAATCATCCTACCAGACACTATTGGAGGCACCACAATCAACGATCTGAATAAAGACACGAATCCTAAAGTAGAAAATAAAGAAAGTAATAATGGAACGAGCAACGAAAAATCATCCGAGGATAATAAGAGCTTTAGAAGGGAGCTAACAATCCCAACGATAACAACTGATGATGCTCCCGCTATGCCAAGTTTAGACTCGACGATTGCTGGCAAGGTTGATGACCCCGAAGACCTGCCAAAAGAGGGCGTTCAGAGAAGTGATAGCTTTAGGCGGGCAATGGGAGAAGGCCTATTCGGTTCTGAGAAAGACATGAATATAAAAAAATGTGAAGTGGACACTGGCTCTAAGGAGCGCAAGAGATCATTCTCGTCTACATCGTCAACATCCTCTTCTTCGTTATCCAAGAAAGAAAGCAGCGATGAAAAGGTGACGGATCCCCCAACACACAATGAACAGCCTCAGACAGTGGAGACCAAAACAGACTCTGAAAAAGACAATGTCGTTGTCAAAGAAATTAATACCAAAGATGACGGGTGTTTGAAAGAAAACTTGGTAACCCAACCAATCCAGCCGAAGTTTTTGAAGGTAACCAATGATGGGCATCTTTATTTTGCATTTATTTTGACAACATTAATTTTTTCAGGGCTAGTGCCAATTTATTTTGCTAAATTTATGTATTATTTCTTAGTTAAATGGGAACTTAGCCAGTTAATTTTTCATTAATCGTAAGTGACATTCTTTTTGCATTCAATCAATTAATATTGCCTTTGCAGGTTCCATCGGATGAAACTCCTCCTTCGCTTTCATCTCCCGAAAGCAGCGATACCGCGGAACGGAGAGTTCTAAAGAGCATCCTGAAGAAAATGTCCAACCAGGAAGCTAAGAGCGAATTCATGCGTGTTTCCGACTTGAGAAAGCTGATGCGAGCTCCTACCGTTGAAGGATATGCCGCCCGCCGAGCCAAGTTTAATAAATCAGTTTCTTTCCAACGGAAAACTTTGAACTCTCCTCCCTATACTGGCACCATCGAAGATGCTTTACGAAGAAACAGCACATCTGAAGACGGTAGACTTTCACACAGTTTAATGCGACAGACATCAGTAACAAGTCCTTCATCCAACCAAAGAGGACGAAATGCCATCAAATTTTCGGAGCCGAAGGATGGACTGTCGGCTGACAGTATGAGTAAACTCATCACTCGTTTGGGGTCGGCTGGGAAAGATCCGCGTCCCATCTCTGAGTCCGAGGCACTTGCCCATGGCGTTGGGATCATCTTGCAAAATAAGATGGTACAACATAGGATGTTATCAGAGAATTTGCAATGCAGCTGAAAAGCTGGACTTTAAACTTTTCAATATCTGTATTTTTACAATTTTGTATGTGCTTTTTCTTTGGCTTCAAGACAATATCAAAACTGCAATTAATATTCAGGTTAAATCTTACATTTCAGTTATTAAGTAATCATAGGCATGTGATAGGTAACTTCAAGCTTTCAAGAATAGCATAAGTTCATGCAAATCCAAACTTCTCCACCTCCAGCCTTGAGTTGTATGCACAACTTGTCTCTGAGCATGACACAATAGACTCTTAATTAATGCATTTGCCTAAATTTCACGCATATATATCATTACCCATTGCAGCTTGTGTTTATCGTTAATACAGGCTGACATCGAAAGCGCTTGGGAAACCCGAATGGCTGCTTTACACCAAGAAATTGTCGACAGAGACGCCACCATCCGAAGACTTGCTGACTTCATGAACAGCATGGGCGTCGTAAGTATCTTGCCCTGTGATGGCGATGTTAAGTCGGCCTTCGCAGAAAATTATTGAGTAGCGATGTGAACTGGAACAATCGTTTCGCCTAAAATATTGATTCTTTTGCTTCGTTTATGTGAATCGTTGTTTATGTGAATCGTTCGTTTTTTGTACTTCGTTTAAAGTTACACAATATTTTAGACTAGTAGTTTGGCGAGATGTGATGTCGCATTTGAACTTCAGCAAAAAAATAATGAACAACATGAGCGGCTGGTTAAAGATTAGCACACCTTATATAAGCATCAAGGAATAAGTTGCATTTTTTGTTAACGGGTCAATTAATCAATTTCAGTAATGGTAAAGTAATGAACATTTTGCCCCGCAGCCTGACACCACCGTGAATTCACTCGTATCAAGCGCGAATGAAAGCGATCCGGTGAACGAACCTTCAGCTCTCGAGGCGTCGGAACGGAATGGACTCGTCAGAAGAGCTGACTCTGAACAGTTACGTGGTTCTTCTTTCGATGCCAGCAATTCAGGGTCCGACGAAGAAGAACCTCTATTCATGGTAAGCTAACATAATATTCATCTGTCTTAAGTGTTACCTTTGAGTTAGAAAAACAAATTATTGTTTGACGAAAGTTCTCACCTAGAACTTTCCAATGATAGAGCTGAGAATTAATACATCAACTTGCAAATCTTTCATGTCTGAGATCGACGTTTGAACTCTATCTCTACTGAAGTAATATACGTCCTCTTACAGCGCTGCACTTCGATCGAATCCATCATCCATCACTCTCCAAACGACACTGTAGGTACAAGGAAAATTCCGATCTCACCGCAACCTCAGTCATGGCCTCAGCAACGGTTCTCGGCCAACGAAGTCGTAGACAGGCGCCGAGGTCAGCTCTCTGCTCGGTCACATTCCATAGTTGAGTTCGAGTCCTCTACAGACGACGACGTGTACTCGTTCTCGTCCGACGATGAGCACGTTATTGTTGTCACACCCGAACCCGACGTACCTGAAGAAATGACAATTGACGAAGATTTTATCGATGGGTACCTGGAAGAGGAGGAGGAAGAAAATCAACTGGATCAAGTAGAAAAAGGTCTCAAGTCTAATAAACTCAATAGTAAGGACTGGGAAGTTCAAATGCTTGCTCAAAAACTAGCCGACGAACAAAGAACAGTGGCTCGTAGAGTTGACAGGGATATTGCCACTGGAAAACTACGTAGCGAACTGGCTGACGTTCACAGCGCCTTGGCCACCGAAGACTTAGATGACCTCACCGACAGGGATGTCGTTAGTCTCCAAACATTTGTCAAGTCTCAAAGGGACAGCCTTAAGCCCTATATTCGACTATACAGCTTAGAAGAGAGACCAGTTTTGGATGAAGAGTTTTGCTCTCTCTACCGAAGCTACTCGCAAAACATTCTCACGCGAACTACTGAATTGGAAAAATCGGGAAGAAGTCATAAACCGATTCATCAATTGATGAATACTTTGGCTAGTTTGACTCTACCTGAACGATTCCTTTTAGATCGACTCCACCATAGCCGAGAACGATTTAGAAGGCTTGCCAAACAGCGATCTTTAGGCGATGAGCCTTTCTCTACCACCGGCTCAAAGAAATTTTCAGCTCTGCGAGAAAACAGCAGTAACAACGCGGCATTCAGAAGGTCACGAAGCATGTGTTCACCTCCTAATTCTACAGAAACATCACCAAAATTCACGAGAAGTCCCTTACGAGGGCCATCCCCGGTGTTAGAGATAGCAAATGAAACCCGTAGCGGACCGGCTACGGTGTCCGCCATGTTCGCCAACCTCCAGCGTTCCATGACTAACCTAACCTCCGGCTCGAGAGCTCGAGGACTCGGACCTCGCAGTATGACTTTACAGGAGAGTCAGCCGATCCTCTACTCCTCTAGGTAGCACATTTTAACGAAGATGAGAATATTTTTGCTGCAATAATTATTAGGTCATCTCACATATTTGCTAAAAAATATGCTCATCTATTTAAATATAGGAAACTTTACTATCAATCGAGTTACATCAACATAGAATGAACACCGTAAGAAATAAATGGAATCCGAATTGGCAATAAGTGAGAACAAAATAGCGGCCACATTATTATTACAATGGTCTTCTTCGGAACTCAAATAAAAACAGCTGTTCAGTTTAATGTGCGTATTCGTTCAAGCTTAATAGCGTATTTATTGTAACTTTTATAGTAAGAGTTTGTTCTGTAGAAATAACCCGGCTTCTGATCCCGCTTGTAGGTAACCATCAAGCTTTCCTTCAATTCCCACTTCTTAAATCTGCGATAAAAAAATATATTTCAGAACTGCATGGGACGAAACAAGGGCCATTCAGGCGAGAATAATATTTTTTCTTTGGAATCCTGGGGTCCATATTTAGGCGCCACTATTATTGCTGCATGCATTACATTCATCTTTATTCCCCCAATGCAAGTAATGTCAGTGAATGCTAAGTACTGATTACAGTCTATGTCTGCTGTTTCCGACCTTCAGGTTGCTATATTTGGTCCATCAGGGTCTGGGATGTGAATTCACCCCAGAGCAAATGAATTGACCATAGAAGGTACTACTCGACGAAATTCATGCAGATATTTACAAGTTTTCTGGATCATATAGAAATTATGTATCACGTTAAGGATGTGTTTTTCAATTAATATGCACTATGTTATTTAGTTGCACAAGTGGCCATGACAAACCCAGCTCTGTGCGGTATTGACGCGTATGGATCGAAAAATTGGACAAAAAAACTTAGCGTATCAGATCCAGCATTTATACTGTAAGTGAATCAACCGTTGATTTCGACCAAACGTTAAGGAAATTTAGCACTGCTGTGGTTGATACTTCGATTGTGCGGGCGGTTCTTGCGTTTTTTTGCTCTAGGGCAAACTTGCATCACGCGACAGAAAACTTCAGCAATGAAAAACTCTTCCTTTCCTTGGCCTCCGCAAATAATCGAGTGTGCTTTAGAAAGATTATTAAATAAGTTAGTCATGGCACAGAGCTTTATCCGCGTTGCAATAGCTTATATATGTTCCGAGTATCTACCTTAATTTGTATCATGCATCCAAAATAATTTAAAAATATTGTTTCTAGACAGGGTTAGACAAAACGTGCCATTTTGTTCTATATAAATTGAAGTCAAGTGACTACGCGCGCTTGGAATCTTCAGTTTTTTTTGGTTAATTTAACTTCATTACCAGCTTATATTTTAAAATAATATCTAAATAGTTGTTCAAAAATTTAGGAAAAACTGTTAGGAGATGCCAAATTCAAAATTATTATTGTAGATTCAACAGAATTTGAAAAAAAGATTGGTCAAAACTAGGCTTACGTTGAGACTTGAGCATCGTTCAGTTTTGTTGTAGCTGCTTCGAACGTTGTCATATTTCAGCTTCGAATGTTGCAATATTTCAGCTTCGAATGTTGCAATATTTCAGCTTCGAATGTTGCAATATTTCAGCTTCGAATGTTGCTATATTTCAGCTTCGAATTCTGTTATATTTCAGCATCGAATATTGTTATATTTCAGCTTCGAATGCTGTTATATTCCAGCATCGAATGTTGTTGTATTTGAGCATTGAATGCTGTTAACTTCATGATGCTTGTGACGCGAAATTACTTTAGCACCATTAAACCACAGTGAATTTCAATGCTTCCTTCTCCTGGTGAATTCCAAGACTTGACTGACAATTGAGCTCGAGATCGTGGTTCTCCTGTTTTACATGGACAAAGCACTTCTTTCTTCCATTCATACTACTCATGACTCTTTTTTTCAAGGCACAAAAAATACATTTGTTTTTTTGTTTGATCTACAAGCCTCAATAATTATTCTCATCTGGCATAGCTTTATTTTATCGCGTATGGTGTTGGTTCTTCCCTTGAGAGATCTTTATCATGTGTACGTACACCTATAAGTTTGCGTAAGGAGTTTAATGTCAACCGGATTTACTGTGCCCCGCATCTTCACATGATTTAATTATTTAGGAATGTAAGTTCTTATTGAAGAACCTTGCGCTTCATGGGAATTGTTATAATTGAAAAAATATATGCTGAAATTTGTCAGTGTTTCTACATCCTTGTGAGCTTTCTCTGTTGTAGTTTTCAAAACTGGAAAATAGTCCATTTTTTGCAATTCTTGCTAATTTTTACATTGAAATATTTTTTATGAAAAGAATTCATAAATGGGAATGATCCCAAATGCCTAGGAAACGAATAATTATCACTGTAAATTGGCAAAGAAATGTGTTTTTCATGTAGCGATTAAATTTAAAGATATAAATATAAAATTTGACTACCTATAATAATGATGATCATTAGTTCCTTTCCCGGAACTATAACGACCAACTCACACAGCATCAAAAGGACTCGTTCCACCAGATCATTATATCTGCTCAATGAGAAATTTATTCCTAATGGCGAAGGTGGAATTAAAACAAACCCTTTAGGTGGAATTAAAAACAAAATTTGCCTAATATCGTCTATGCCAGTTTAGCAGGTAAAATAAGCATGGAACTATGAGAACTATTTGTTATTCATTAGTATCCTTAGTTATGATAGAGCTGAATATTATTTGAACGTCATGGTCATTATTCCAAATGTTTTTAAATTCCTCGAGATTAGGTAATCCCTGATGGGAATTATATTAGGTTTACTGCATGCGCTTTAAACTCAAACTAAATAATTAGAATGATTTGGAATCCGCGCTACCAACCGGAATATATATAAAGTTTTGCATCTTAGTTTTATTTGAGAAAAAAATGAAACATCGATCTTGAAATGGGATGGTACCTATGTAAAATAGTTATGGAAAATGAATGAGGTTCAATAATTTGCAATACAAAGCCTCGGAGTGCAGACACATTAACTGACACCACCCCTCTCCTTCTCAATGATGTACGTTTGAAATAAAGTTCATCAGAAGGACGATCAAAGTGATTGATGTGAAGGCATCGTTAATCTCATGTTGCCATTTGTTATCACCTCAGCTACACCGAAATTGATTCATTCTTGATTATAAAGAATGTACAAACATAAAAACATAATTAGATCAATTAGCCGTGGGGTTTATGTACCAAATTTATAGTATTACTCAATTGGTATATATATAAAACAATTAACATGTATAAGGTGATTACTCTATGTTCGACACCAATCGTCATTCCTTTTAGAAATGAAATCAACTCCTTGTAAAATGTACAGACACTTGCCGGCTGAGACGATTAAAATATTTTGAAAGTATTTTAAAGCCATACCTAGCTGCGCATATGCTGCGTTGCAGAAATTCACGCGTTATTTATTCCATATGCAACATTTCTAATGACTGCCAACTATTTATCAATGCACAGGAAGGAATTCGCTAATGAAAAAACGCCGGTAATAAATGCAAAGTCATTCTTAAGGCCTGATCCTTTATCCATGGACACAAGAGGAAGGAGCGACCAAGACACCAGCCCCCAGCAACTGTTCCCCTGAAAAATCCTATGGCGAAATTAAGCAAAGGCTCCTTGATGTTTCAAAAACTCCGCGGACGACCCGTGCTATCAGGAGAAAAATCTGGCGTTATGGGACAGGATCCTCGGCGCAGGATCAAGGCTTTAGTGCCCACGCTTCTTCTCGCGCTCGGAGATTATCAGGCGGCGGAGCTCAGAGCTGCGCAAGTTTGGCCTCGAGTTGCGATGTGTTTTAGTTTGGGATCTGCGATCGTAGTTAGCTGCAGTGAGCACAACTTGAGGTCATTAAAAAGTTTCTCATGTGTCCACATGATTTGGACGTATCTTTACCTTAATGAACGCTTGATTCCAATAGAGCATGGATAAGAAGATATTTTTTTCTAAAAAGCCGATTCTGTCATAAATTAGGATGTGGAAAATATTGATAAAGTCTCTTAATGTTATTTGAAAATAAAAAATAATGTAATAACTTATATCATGGACTGTTTCTCGTTTATTTTCAATTTCGTAATTGAACATATTTTTTCACGTCATTGGATAGTTTGACAAATTGTGGTGTCATTTGATTCATGCATCCTCTTTACAATGGGCAATTTGTAAAGGTAATCGTAAGTAGTCTGAATATAATTTTTTACTTAATTGGCTCTTAAGAAAAAGTCTGGACAAAGAGCCAGGTAGCCCTTTAATTAGGCGACGTGCGTTGCAGCGTCACGACGAGACTACTAGTTTCAATTACTGTAACAATGAAAGCATGTGAGATTGGACGTTCCAATTAAAATTTTTTATAACTTTCAGACGATGGGACTTCTAGAAACGGTCTTACTTTTCAGGAATTGCAAAGGGTTTCAGACGATGAACGAGTCAGTGGTTGGCTCGGCGCCACCATAATCGGCAACTAAATTTTCTAAAAATCCACCAAAAACTTAATTTTAATGCACTTGATTACTCGTTTCATTTCGCCGAAAAAAATTTTATAGCGAATTTTACTAGATTATAAATGTTTTGAAACGCTCATTTATTGTGAACAATGCTTTTCAATATCTAAGCATTTCCGAAAAATATATAGACTTTTGATACGAACATCTAGACGTTTATTATGAACATCAATGCGTTTCATACTAACAGATCATATGCACATCCGAAAGTTCCATATCAGAATGTAGGCGTTCAATTTGAACATATAGACACATGTTGTTACGGGGCCCTTATTGACTGGGCGTAATTCGAAACTATAACCTATTCCGCTATAACCCTTCAGGTTCGACATGCTTCTCGCAGTTCATCACACGAAGGAAACAAAGATGACCAAATATTAAGATTTTATTCAACACAGGAGATGACAACAAGTGTGTAAGAATCGAAGTCGAGTCTAGGCTTCCAAGGTCTCCCTGTATGAGAGATGAACATTACGGCTGAGTTTACAAATTGGATAAGCCATAAACACATAATAAAGCTTAACAAGAATTCCTAAAACCTAAACTTGGACAGTTATAATTTCACACACTTGATTGCAAGATAATGAAATAAAAGACAACAGCACTGGTCCTACTTTAAAACATCGGTGATAAGTACACAATACACACCTCTTCCCTGTGGTGGCGAAAACAGAATAAGGTTATTAGTGGCTACTAACCCGGACTTCAGGGTCAATCCGGCAACATCGCGAACGCGTCTGCTTTATTTATTAAAAAGACATTCAACACAGTATAGGTTCCACTCCTCTACAATGTGAACAGCTAAGCCCTTCATATAATAAAATCTAGGTGTTAACTTATCAACATATAGACACTATAACTTTTACGTTCGTTTTGAACATTTTCACGTTCGTTATGAACATCTTGACGTTCCGAATGAACGTTTTAACGTACCGTACGAACATTTTGTCGTTCGTTATGAACAATTTTACGTTCCGTACGAATATTTTGTCGTTTGTTTTGAAGAATTTGACTTTCCGTATGAACATCTTGACGTTCCGTATGAACATCTTGACGTTCCATATGAACATCTTGACGTTCCGTAAGAACATCTAGACGTTCCGTATGAACATCTTGACGTTCCGTATGAACATCCAGACGTTCCGTATGAGCATCTTGACGTTCCGTATGAACATCTAGACGTTCCGTGTGAACATCTAGACGTTCCGTATGAATATCTAGACGTTCCGTATGTACATCTTGACGTTCCGTATGAACATCCAGACGTTCCGTATGAACATCTTGATGTTCCGTATGAACATCTTGACGTTCCGTATGAACATCTAGACGTTCCGTATGAACATCCAGACGTTCCGTATGAACATCTTGACGTTCCGTATGAACATCTTGACGTTCCGTATGAACATCTTGACGTTCCGTATGAACATCT